TTTCTTGGTCGTGTACCTCTAGCAGGTAGGATCTTAGGTGGCGTAGAAAATACAACAGGCTAGAGGTTCTTTGTGCATTTATGGTCAATTTAGCTCATTCATGTACTTCTTGATTTATGGAAAAAACCTTTCTACTTTCCATGTTAGTCTTATACTGTTGTGGAGTCACTCCATAGGTATATTTTCATGCTTTGCAGTCCTGTTCATCTGGCTAGTAAGATGGTAGATTACTCAGAAATCACTACCAGCCAGAGTAGCAGCTTAAGTATGTGACATAAGCTTGAAATCATTAAAATTGTTATGTTTTAAATATATTTTAAGTTAATAAATTTTAAACCAGCCTGATTTGTAGTTTCTTTGGTTGTGGATTTATTTCAAGACGATTATAACCAGTTTTAGATGAATTTGAATTGAAATTCATTTTAAACTTCAGTGGACATGTCAAACAGATTTACTGAAGTAATACTTTGCCTAAAATATATTAAAGTTCACACGGCAACCAGGTGGACAATCAGACATAGTTTGAAGCTACACTGGTTTGCAGATTTAATGAATGTAACCGAAGAAGTTACAATTCATAGACCCAACGTTTCGACACTCCTGTCTAGTGCCTTCATCAGGGGTGATCTAAACGCTGCAACAAGAGGTCCTTTTATATGATCACTAATTAGCGGCCTTTTTTTTCTGACGAGGTGTAAATAGGCGTCAGGAAGCAGACCGCCATCGTCACGATTTAAAGGAGCGTGGGCGGAGTTAATATGCCAAGCCTCCAAACAAAGGCGCTGGTGGTAACGCCGATTAGTAGTGATAATTTTAGAATTATCCCACCCAATTGTATGGTTGGTTAGGCAAGTATGCTCCGATAAAGCTGAATTTTCCTTTTTGCAAAGAAAAACCGCTTTTTGGTGCTCTTTTAACCGTGTACCAAACTGGCGTTTGGTCTGTCCGATGTATTCGTTATCACAGTCATTGCAAGGAATAGAATAAATGGCGTCGGTTCGTTGTTCTTTCGTGACAGGATCCTTAGGTTTGGCGAAAATATGCCCCAAAGTCTGAAAAGGTTTTTGAGCAACTTTAACGTTGTGGCAATTCAAAATTCTCTTGATGGGTTCAGTAACACCCTGTATGTAAGGAATAACAGCAAAACCAGTCACTGGTTCCCTTTCATCAAGAGCGTTACTATTTGTAACTGGTTTTTGGCAGTTACGGAGAAAAGTTTTTGTATAGCCATTTGCCTTTAGGACATTGGAAACATATTTCCTCTCCTCAGCCTTCGAATCGAGTGATGATGGTAGACAATCAGCCCTCCTAAGTAAAGTTTTGGCTACAGACTTTTTATGGCAAATAGGATGGTGAGAATCGAAAGCGAGGTATTTGTCGGTGTGGGTGGGTTTACGATAGACACTTGTCTCTAAATTACCCTGAACCCCTCTAGACACATTTAAATCAAGAAAGGGCAAATGTCTATCCTTTTCACGTTCAAGGGTGAATTGGATCGACGGCTCTACTGAATTCAAATGCGACAAGAGGCGCTCCGCTTCATTTCCGGATACCGCAGAAATAACATCATCGACATATCGTTTCCAGAAAAAGGGTTTAACCGGTGAAGTGGCTAAGGCCCTTTGTTCCACGTCTTCCATTACCATGTTAGCAATGACAGCAGAAACAGGCGAACCCATAGCTGTACCAAAAACTTGTTGATAGTATGTGCCGTTATATGTAAATTGCGTGGTTTTGAGGCAAAAAGACAGCAGATGAATAATATCCTCCACAGGCAAAGAAGTTCTTTGTCCTAGGGAAGCATCTTCTCTGAGTCTTTCCTCCGCAACCTTAACGGCAAGATCAACTGGGATTTTAGTGAAGAGCGAAACAACGTCGAAAGATACTAATTCTTCACAAGCGTCAAGAGTTTTATCTCTTATGAAATCCGTAAATTCGCAGGAATTTTTGACAGTGTAATCAGTATTCCCAACAACAGGCGACAAAATTCCAAAATTACCACCAGCGCCTTTGTTTGGAGGCTTGGCATATTAACTCCGCCCACGCTCCTTTAAATCGTGACGATGGCGGTCTGCTTCCTGACGCCTATTTACACCTCGTCAGAAAAAAGGCCGCTAATTAGTGATCATATAAAAGGACCTCTTGTTGCAGCGTTTAGATCACCCCTGATGAAGGCACTAGACAGGAGTGTCGAAACGTTGGGTCTATGAATTGTAACTTCTTCGGTTACATTCATTAAATCTGCAAACCAGTGTAGCTTCAAACTTTGCCTAAGTATGAGTGGAATTTCTTAATAAAAAACAGCCTCTATTTTCATGATATTTGTGTTTGATTAGAAGTATTGTTGACAAGGCAACCATTGTCTGAAATACTAAAATCAAGTCATCTTTAGGTAGTCATAGGATAACATTATTTAAATTCACCAAATTGATATTTTCCTTTTGTATTTTCAATGATATTTAACAGCTAGTACACAAGTTATTCTTGAAAATATAGGTTATCTACTTCTACAGAAATTATACAATTATATAAATGAGATTAACCTGTGCCTGTGTTATTTATTTTCTTTTTTTATAAAAGTTGCTATTATTAAAAAGAAATCAAACCTTTCTTATTTGAACACCAACCAGAAACTCTTTGCTTATTGCCAAATAATGCCTGCTTTAGTTTCAGCCGATTCCCCAGAGAGAGTCATTTGATGCTCCAAACTTTTATGCTGTGCTATCAAATAAGCAGAGGTAGGTACATGACTGAGGAACAAGAAGATATTCTTGGAAAAAGAAGACTGTAATAAAAATTGGGCAAAGTTAATTAAATATGCAAGCTGTACTTAACCCTAAGTCTAAGATCCTACTAGCTAGAGGTTATAGACCAAATAAAAGGGAAAATAAGGAAACAGCCATACAAAATTGTGCGAAATTTCATTGATTTAAACTCAACAATGTATTCTTCACATGAAAAGCATTTTATAATGTTTGTCTGGTTCAATCAAGTCGCTTGACTGTTGATAAATCGCAAATGGTGTTACTTTAGTAGTCCGCCATATTGTTATAGCCGACATTTTCCGATAATCATCCGACTCGAAAACTCGTCACCATACTCCTCGGGTGTATCTCTAGCCGGTAGAATTTAGGCACAACCGACGTCCATCGCGGCTAGCTCATCATAGCGATCTCCGGTCATCGCAATCAAGGAAGCCTCAGAAATTACATTGGCCGCCCTTCGAGAGAATAACAAAGAGCTTGCTCTGATATCCTCTCCGATGCGTTGAGTGGAAGGCCACATCTGTCATTGCAGCCGAGTTTTACGGCGCTGTCATCCCGAGCAATCTTCATGTTCCGGTAAATTCGGCTGTCGTTCAATCATAAAACACACGCTTGAACAGTTTATTTTCTACTTGCGTGATTTTATGAGCCACAATTCGACCGGATTTCACTGAACATTTCACTTCAGATTCTGTATTAGAAACTAAAAGGCTTCAGACCGGCGAAAGAGTTAAATTCGACTATTAAGTTTGTAAACTATTACGGAATGTGAACTTTGATGGTGTTTTAACTTTGATCGTTTGACATTTTTGACAGTTTTAGTCTTGTACAGCCCATCAGATTATTTGAACCATTCTAGCAGGTATTCTGACTGGCTTATTTTAGCGTGCCTTTTAATGGTAATAGGACCGAGTGGAGTCCAATTCGGTCTGTAATGATACGAGTGTGAAGCTTATATGAAATAATTCTAAATAATAATAATGATACGAGTGATCAACAAAATCGGACTCCCGCTTCGCGGTCGTCCGATTTGTTAATCACGAGTATGATTACAGACAGAATTGGACGACACGAAGTACTGTTACCACCAGTTAATCAAAACTATGACAAAATTTGAGAAAAAAACCAGACATTGGTTGTACGTTTTCCTAAAAAAACCAGCAGTTAACTCGGCGAGATGCGAGACAACAGCTCGCGCTCATGACGCATTCTGTCCACTTACGTAGGCATGACGAGTCAACTTTCCCTTAAACTGTTCTATTACTGTCCAATTACAAGTTTAACGTGTACACTGTCCTATTGGTGCTGAAATCAATCGGGCTGGTGATAATCAATGACGTTCGAGAAGTTTGTTATAGTTTTGATTAATGAGAGTATAGAGCATGCTGACGACACTGTTGTTCGCTTTGGAAATAAACTTTGGTTTGAAAATTGAAAGTAATGCGTGGGGAATTTAACGGATTCTCTATTATAAAACAAATAGAGGAGCCTTGACTGTGCTCAGTTCTGTTTTAAAGCACCTAGGAAGCGGCTAGAGTACGAAAGAAGTGGGGAGAAACACCCGACTACGTCTGTCAAAAATGTCAAACCATCAAAGTTCAAAAACCATCAAAGTTCACATTCCGCCATAGTTTACAAACTTATTAATTTAACTCTTTCGCCTGAAGCCTTTTTTAGTCTGAAACACTCGACTATGTCTATTGTTTCTCCCTACACTTTCGTTTATAAGCGTGCAGTCTACTCACGAAAGATTGCAATTCAATCAGAATTAGACAATACAAATTTGTAAGCTCACGAATAAAATCGAATAACTATCTCAATGCTTAGTAATACTACATTAACTTCGTTTACTTCCGTTTTGGCCAGCCTTACTTTGTCTTACCTTGAGAAATAAATTCAAAAGCGATTCTTTACACCGTTTCCCTATTATGGAAATAAAAAGGTTCCCGATTTCCTATGAAACCTCGTGTCAGTTCTCATCAACGACGAAGCTCTGTCCGTAAAAACAGGAAATACACTGCTCGATTTCTACGAACTCGCCACGTCATCAACATTTTCGGCTTTAACAATGTTACGAAATCTTGCCGTAACGCGACACGTTCCGAATAACAACAAAAACGATGTTAAAACCACTATCAATGATAAAAGTAATGACAAAAAACCGAAGGAAACGCTGTTACTTTGTAGGTGAGTTGCAGTTCTGTTATTATTCAGAACATAACATGTCTGTTAAACTCATTTTCAAAGATTTTATTTACTTACTATGGTTTTCACTTGGCATGATATCAGACCTCTCTAAGACATTGCACGTCAACGATCTTTAACATGCTTAATTGCCCTTTATTCAATCTAAATTTGTCATTAAATTGTGGACCCAATTTCTAACCATTACGCATATCATTTCTGAGAGAAGTTTTCAAACTTAGCCAATAATGGGAAAACAAAAATTTTCAAAGTGTTGGACTTTCTTGAAAGTGAGAACGTTTGACCTTACAAATGTCTGTTCTTTTGGATTACGCATAGGGTTTTCAACATGAAATATTCTGGAACCAGACCCATTCAAAAATCGAAATTCGCAGCTGAACTTAAAAGGAAATACGGCTCAAACGTTGCAATTTAAAACGCCGTGCTTAATTTATTCAAACAAACAACCTCTCATGCTTTTAATCAAGGTATAAGTTTCGGGTTGCTGAAAGTTCGACGTTTGAACACAAAAACCCTCATGTGGTTTAAAGTACCAGAACAGGTTTTCTAGATGCTTTTGTCGTGGCTGATTGTAAAACTGTTTGTAGCTTATCGTAGTATGACTACTGTAGTCCGATATCCCTTCACTGGCAAGAAACCTAGAGAGGGAGCTTGGATGTTTCGTTCAGAAGCCTTGTTAATTATTCAAAACGTTGTTTTGTGTTTTTTGACCTCCACCATCACATGATGAATGTTAATCAGTTCACTCCGGATCGGAAGCCGTTTAAAAGGATGTTGAGATAAAATTTTCTGAAATCTGTGATAATACTGGATCAGTTGTGTTAGAGCAGCCTAGGAAATATAAAACAGAATTGTTATGAGGACGAGCTAGAGTCTGCATCAAAGGCTAATTACATAACATGCCACTAGCTGAACAAAGCATTACATTTGGGGTCTGTGAAGCCGAGAGCTAGTCCATCTCATGGGGATATCTTTCTCTGTCCATTTGGACTTTTCTTCGCAACTTGTGTTTCTCACCAAACTAATAGTTTGTGCTTGGCCTCACCCAAGGGGTTATTTAAATACCGAAGACTTAATTCACTTTGCGAGTAGCTACTCTTTGTGAACGTGATACCTGCAGAATTGTTGTACCATTCTTGAAGTTGGAGAACGATCTCATTATCTCTTGATTTATATTTTCAATTGACCTTTTCCAGTCCGATGCGAAACCACGCACAAGTTGTTGAATGCGTTCTAAATGGAAACAAGAAATCAGTAACAGGCCGAACAACTCGTTGTGTGGTGTGTCCCACAGTGTAAGAGTGGCCCTGGAAGCAATTGTCGGTGGTGACGCCCGCTGACGTTTTGAAAACCACAACAAAAGTCACCATTAGAGCCAAGAGATTTTCGGCTTGTACAGTACACAAAATAGAAACGAGTACATAAATAAAGAATATATCAGCGAAGCAAATACTGAACAGCCGACATACTTTCATCTGGCCTGATAACTTGTCCTTGTCCTCGTTCCAAAAGAGGCTCTGTCTCTTTAACGAAGGCAACCATTCCACCAAAAGCGGGAGAGAGAGCCTACACACAGAAAAGTAATTTAAAATTATTTTCATTCTCAATCAAAGGCTTGCACTTCCAGGGACAAATTAAAGACAAAAAAGCAGTCATGAAAATCAGTCAAATTTCTCTACACTATAAGAACAGAGTCAGGTCATACCTCTTCAACAAACTCCTGAATTCTGGCCGTGAGTAACTGCTGAAAACTTTCCACCTCTTTGGAGTCTTCAGATGTTCTCTCCTGAAAAAGAGAACAGATAAAATGTTGGCACAACAGAGTGTGCATTTATTGCACTCCAAAACAAACAAACGAACAAACAAGCACAACAAAATTCACATAGCCAACCAAGAAAAAATGACCCCGAAAAGAATTCAACCCTCACATTTTCTAGATCTTATTAGTTGGCCATAAACCACTTTCGCTTTTACCGTCGGGCATTTACTATTCATAGTAGTTTAAATCGGGTGTTCTTGTGTAAAACATACCAGTAAAACAGCCAGCATCATATCGTAGTTGTTGATTAGGAAAATAAGCTGTTCTTTCCTTAAAGGAAACTCGGCGGCCATGCGCAAAATGAAGTTCTCGACCTCGACTTGTAAAGCTGCAAGGACTTTGTTTACCTTGAAAAAAAATTGGTAAATAGAGGAGATTACCACAGGAAATTTTTTCACCTAAAGTATAAAATAAAATTAAGAAAGAGGTCACAGTAAGTGAATTAAATTTAATTATTCTAACCTTCTCATCTGGAAAACTTTCATTCAAGCTGACAATCGCGGCAGAAAACTCTGCATATCGACGGGTTATCTAAAAAAAAAACACATTTGAAGAAAACTGAATAAATCAAGATAAATAAATAAAGGGGCTAAGTTTCTAAAGAAACTGTGGTGATGTGTTGGTGGGAGAGTACAACAGAGTAATTTAGTGTAATCAGCTGATTACACTGATTAACGATACGATCGCTCTGACGAAGGGCCAACGCTTGAATCGCCAGCCTTTAAAGTCTTTACGGTGGCCAATTTACGTTATCAACTCATTTGATTACACTAAATTACCCTGAAGAAATCAAGATTACTTTCTACAAACAATTTAGTACTACACTTCAAGACTTTCATATAAAAATCTGTGCATGTCACGCGTTTGGCTCAAGTCACGTATGAAAGAGATGAACATTATCATACGTAACGCGAGAGTATATAAACTTTTTTTGTTACACGGTGTGTTCTACGAAGCCGGTAAAAATGCAAAGAATAGTTAGAAGCCATGCTTACGTAATGTGGTCTGATGTCGATCACTCCAAGTCTTTGAGGATCTGTGTTACGGACACTGTCAACATTTAACTCTACTACGTACGTGAAACGTGGCCATGACATTTCCAGCACTGTGTCCCAATACCTGGTGAGAATAGCCACATAATATTACAGATGATCACAAGGTAGACTTCTTATGAACAACTATTACGTGATTGAGCTGTTTGGCTGATGACAAAGCAAACTTTCCGTGTTAACCCCTTTAACCCCCAAAAGTGATTAGCATGTATCTTCTCCCTACAATATCCCCACATTATCCTGTACACAGGTAATGAGAATATTCAAACTAATCGGGTGGAAGTTGTTATCTTGATCCAACACCAAATTCTCGTAACTGCGGATTTACAAGGAGATGTGTTGCAGTTAGAGGGAAGAATTAACAATCAAATCTTGGGACTTAAGGGGTTAATCCCGGTACTCTTTCCTGGTTGATAATCACTTACTTGTCCAGAGCCGGGACGCTTCTCTTGTGCATCAGTATTCTGTATCGGTGTACAATGTGTATACACAGGAAGATTCCAATAGCGTCAAAACAGCTCTCCAAATATGTGTCCATTTGTTTCTGATTTGGAAAACAAAGGCAAACCAAATTAGTAAGTACTTCAGCCCACTCTCTGAAAAATATTTTAGCAGGGAAAAAACAGTGGTAAAATAATGATAATAATAAAAAAATTAAAACGTTTCGGTCTCTTTAAAGACACAACACCTTTGTTAACAGTCACTGTAACGACTTGACAACAATGGGAAAACTGAAAGCTCCTTCGCCGATTTCATTTTATGTCTCTCAAAAGATCTCTTTGAAACAAACCTCTATGACATAACTTACCAGAAATAAGGATAATGTTTTGCCGAACACAGCGGTAAACAGATCTCTTGCTGAGTTTTTCTGTACCATGAAAAAGTCAGCTAGGAATAGGTATTCACGGCAGCTGTTATCCAGTAAAGCAAAGTGCATGCTGCGAAACAGACTTTCAAAGGAGTGCTGTAAAAAGAAGAGATTAACAAACAGTTCAAAATACTCTCCATCATCATGGGTAAAGTTCAAACAATTACTCTCCATTTCCCCCAAAACAAATTGACGGTAAGTGTAAGACAACAAGACGCGTCAATAACCACACAACCCAGTGCAAAATATATTAGTGTAGTGGAAATCAACCCGCCTCGGCTAAATCAGAATTCGAGATAACAAGTTACTGCTGCTAAAAAATTGCAATAGTTTTTTTTAATTATGCGATGGTCAACGAATAGCAAATTTTAAGCAAATGATGAAGTAAATGAAAGCTTTTTAACAGTAGACATTCTGTTTCAGTGTGGCCATTGACTCTCTCACCTTCTTTTCGCTCTTTTGCGCCGCATGAGGCACGATCACGGGTTCTTCTAACTCTGATGTTAAAACACTGCCACGGCTTCCTAGAGTAAAAATTGTGGAACGATTCTTTAAAGCAACTCTTCCAGAGAAAATACTTTAAAAGAATTAAGGAAAAATCCGGTTCAGCTGATAATGCTACACTCATACAATTGAAGAAGATCCCCGTTGAAAGGTTTTGATGGCCCCTAAGTATCCTTCTGTCCCATTAAGCCACATTCACAGTGCCATCACAAATTACACTAATACAGCTGAAAAATTACATGTTCATTTGGAAAAGGATATCTCTCTTAGCGTTATCCTCTATTCCCATAAGGTCGTCTCTATCCGCCTGTTCTTCAAACTGAGAAAAAAAATTACAATGATAAATGCACAAATGAAAAAAATGGACACTATGTTGGCTTAACGGTTACGCGTCAACTTGAAATTGTTGCAGTCATAAAGAAAAACGAGAGATGTTTTTTTAATCCAGAGTGACACAAGATAATATTGGCGAGAAGGATTCAGAACTTGGCGAGTCCTTTGTTACAGAACAACTTGACCACTTGAGCACGGAAAGTTGTGTTGTGTGATCCAAGCTGCTTCACTGATGGGAAAAATTTTCGCGTACTTGCAAAAAAAAAATGGGGAGGAAATCAACCAAGAAAAGGTGATATTTGCTCACCTGCAGCTTGAGAAGTTTGGAAATGTACGTTTTAAAATATGAGAAATAAATCTTGCTCATGGTGTCGATGTACTCATCCTTTATTTCCCTCGCAACTTGACGATGATGCGCCATAAGAAATTCATTAAAATACCTGGCAACGATAAGGAAATGAACAAGCTTCAGTCGGCATCTGTCACTCAAGCACTATTCAGAGGGAATGGGGTAACTTTCTAAATTAATTTTAGTTCAGTGTTGGTGGAGGGTATTGCAAGATAGTTTGTTTTAACGTAAGTTGGCCACTGTAAAGAGTTTCTGAAGCTGACGTTTCGAGCATTAGCCCTTCGTCAGAGCGAAAGACGAAGCGTACATGCTGGAATCGTAAGCTTTAGAAACTCTTTACGGTAGCCAATTTGCATTATCAACTCAATTGATTAAAACCAAATCACCATTTAGACAAGGTGAGCTTTTCTTTAAATTTTCTCTACTTGATGTTAATTCTAAGCTTATAACTAAAAGTTAGGCTGTCTCTTCCTCCCTCCATTTCCACGAGTTTTGCTTTCCCGTGTCATTAATTTGCGAGAAAATGGAGCGAGGTTTTACATTAGTACCTGAGCGATGAAAAGTAAAACAAATACGTAAATTTGACGCTCAGTTCAAAACAGTACCGACATAATATTAAACCGAAAAAAATGAAATACCTAAATTTGAGCAAGGCATTTTGTGGAATCTGATAATTAGTCATCGGGCGACGAAATTGATATATCCTCTGCAACACATAGTCTCGTATCTTGTGCACTGCCTGGAAATGAATAGAACAGTAAATTCATTTTACAATAACGCTTGAGAAATTGGTTATAAAACAAAGGAGGATATTTGCATGTCATTACACTCTAGGTATTGTTCTCAAAAGAGATCATGTATCAGATACTTACACTAATTAACCTGTTATTAGTCTTAATTAGGATCTTTTAAAAGTAAGTATTGAAGGGAATCATGAATCCGTTTGGAAAATCATACATTTGGGCCTAAAACGACGGATGGAAGTCCCAAGGAATGGGTCGCGAACTCGCAAAAAAGAGTTTCAGAGAATAACCAAACCCTGAGGCCCGGTTATTCACTCAAGGTCTAACCTACACCACGGTTTTACGTAATCGGTGGGCCTAGCTCAGGCTTTCTCTACACGAGAGTTGATTTATTCGTTGTTCACAAATTTAAAGGTTCAGATAAAAGGTTCAGCTAAATTAAGAATTGTATAGGACGTGGATCTGTTAAACAACAGCCAAACTTTGCTTAAATAGTCAGACCTGAGAATCGGTGATCTTGAGCCTTCGACGTTCAACGGTCGATGAGAAATGAAATGGGTTTACGCCGTTTGAGTGCGACTGTCTGACCGGGCAGTACTATGAATCCACAAACAATGAACTTCACGTCTGGTACATTACCTTGCCTTTCAGCATCTCCAGTATATGTCCCACATCATTGACCGAGAGAGCCCCTTTAAAAGATTGCTCCTTTGCAAAGTCGATCTTGTGGTGTAACTCGTGCAGTTGTTCAATGAATGCCTGCTCTGTCACTGGTGTCTCATTAATGTGTCTGTAATATAAAAATTTATTTTACCACTACCAGAAAAACTCTCCCACGCGTTTTTCGACTGCGTGTCGTAAAATCTGAAGTTAAGTAATTGAGACTTCCAATGAGTTCAAAGGGAAAGTCGAGAAGCTGAAGGGAAAACTTGGAAGACCCTTTACTGTGTGCGAGAATCATAATGCACGTCCTAGCTCAGAATGAATCTCTCAAGAGAGAATTGTATCGTACGGGTGAGGCGGTAAGTTAAGATATTTGTCCTGCACTTCAAGGATGTTTAATTCTACAGATACTATTTCCAAGGGAAAAAATAAGAATGATTTCAAACTGATTAAAAAACTTAGCTCAATCAAAACGGCTGCGAATCAAGTTTTCGAGTCTTGAAATTGAAAAGGCGAGACTGGTTAATAACAGACCGCGACACGGCAAATTTATTCAGACACACCAAACTACAACTTCATTACAATTACAAAAGAGAATTCCATCTACGGAAAAAAGAGAGTAAAAAACAAAAAGCGTGAACATCAATCGTGAGATTCTACCGAGATTTCAAAAGGAATTGAGCCGATACCTGCGCACGTAACAGCCTGGAAGCTGTTCGCATTTGCACTTACATACGTAATTAACTCAGGTGAGAAAGAGCACAAGTGCTCACACAGATGAATTGGTTTGTTTATCATTTTAATTTGCTGGCAATTTTTCATTAATAATTTACATTAACAATTCATATGTTAAAGCGAACTTTCAAGGGTAGACGGCTTGAAAGCAGTTAATTCGAACCTTTCGCCAGCTCGAACTTGAAGCCAATTCCTTTGAGGAACACTTTTTTTCACTTTCAGTCTGCTAACTCGAGCTTCTCGGTGTGTCGAGCTAGCAGGGTTCGATATCCTTCTCGCTTAGGCAATCATTGAACTAAAACAGTGCTGGAAAAAACGGGAACTTTTTACTGTAAATCAACTCCATCCTAAAATCTGTCATCAATAAGTGATTAACGAATGTTACCCTTTTCGCATTTCAAACGCTGGTTGTTCCACATCTTTCACAATCAGCCTTTGCCTTGCCATACAAAGGTCTCCCTATCCCTGGACTGTGTGCACTAAAAGCAGTACGTCTCTGCGTCGAGTTGAGCGACGATGAAGATTGTGAAGTAGCTCCTGAGGTTCCGAAAAAACTCTGCCAAACTTGTAAAAACGCTCGGCGATACTGGGAGACTCTCCAAGCGTAGATGAAGGGATTTATGGCCGAATTTATGTACAAAAATCTGGAAGACGCTACGTCGATCTTGTGAAAAGTTACCGATTGCTGGCAGCGATTGCAAAAGTACAACAAATGAAGAGTGACGTATTGTGGAATATATGTGATGTAAAACAACGCTAGAATGATTGCAATTGTAATGGCCATTCGTCTCTCACGTTCTAAGGAGTACCTCGCGACAGAATCGTACCCACCAGTTTGAAGTTCACGCGTTTGAGAAACGAGAGAGAGGAAAACGTTGGCGTAGATGAACGTTAAAAATACGGCAGGCAGAGAAATGTGAGTATGAAGGTATATAAGTGTGTACGTTTCCTCTGATAAGCGAGTTAGAGGAAGTGAACACATTGCGATGGATGCAAACCATAATACAGCGATAAACACCTTGAGTCTTCCCTTTGTAATAATTGATTTGTAATCCACGGGAGAGTTGATCGCTACGTAACAAGCTATTGACATGGCGATAATGGAATAACTGCTTACAAATAGAGTCGTAGAGAGCACTGTGTACACGATCGACTTAAAAACCACAATGTGAGGTATGTGTTCGAGTCTAGATCGAAACACATCTCTCAAAGCAACCAGGAAAACATTCAAAGACCCCAACAGAAGATCAGACAGGCTCAAATTTGTGATCAGTAAAACCGCAGGTAATTTTCGGAGCGACTTTTGAGGATCTTTATATGTCGTGAAGAGCAGGGCTGAATTTGCTATAATAATGATACTCGCTAAAATGAATCCTGCTGCAGCCAAACTCGACCAGTATGCTTTGTCCACGATTATCGTCAGATAAAAATCGTAATTTGGATCAGAGGCATTCAACATTGTCTTACAAAAACGAAGCTGAATCGAGTGACGGTGGTTGGTGTTTTAGTATCAACTTACTAGACCAACGTGCTCTATACATACTATCAAAAACTTGACTAAATAATAACGACCACGCATATTCATTTTAAAACGAAATTTTGACACGTATCTTGTCCTACGTCAATACAAAAACAGCCTGCTCAAAATGCTAATTTTAATTTTACTGTTTTTCGCGGCATCATCTTTCAGTTTATCAACAAACAGCCCATTATTGCACTCTTTGACGATGACGAACTTGTTGCTTTTTCGCTTAAAAGATGCAAACCTCCACGAATTTGGATTTTCAAAGTTTAAAAAAGGGATGAGAAAGTCGCATTTTACAACGGCTTTTCGACTAATTTCGATTATAAATGAAATCACCCTACCATGAAATTACGTGCAGTATTACATAAACCGGTAAAACAAAAAAACAGCATAACCTTAGGCAGTATCAAAGGAGAATTTTGAGCACTGCAGGTTCCGTCACCCATTTTTGTATAAGCCAAACAATTTAGCAACTGAGGATACGTGCAAAGTTTCTTTTTTTCTTGTACATATTTTAAAGTGTTATTCAATAATTACCCCTTCCTATAACAGACATGACGTTTCGAACGAAACTTTAAAACAGGTTCGAACCAAGTTTAAGAGAAAAGGAAGTTTGAGATATCCAGGATTAGGCGTGATTTGACTCATGACCATCTTTTTCTCTTTTGACCGGGGATGTTCATGAAAGTTGGTCTGGTTGATGTCAGCCTAGCAAATTGTGAAACAATTTTACATAACTGAAAAAGGACACTACAGGATATTAATTAGGAGTCTGACAGGTGTCCACATTCTCAAGTATGAATTTTTTAGAAAAAGAAATGACGAAGACCAAAAGTATCCTCTAGTTATAAAGAAAGATCGAGATTATCCGTCAGACAGTCATTCCATGAATAGAGTGCTTTTCGATTGAGCGTCGTAAAACCAAAGTTATCTATCGCAATAAAGGGGCTACGTTTCTAAAGAAACTGGTGCTGCGTCGGTGGGAAATTATAACAGGTAATCTAGTGTTAACAACTGAGTTGAAAACGTAAATTGACCACCGCAGAGAGTTTAAAGGCTGACGTTTCGAGCGTTAGCCATTCGTCAGAGCGATTACTGACTATCACAATAGCCAACCACAAGTAGCCAATGAGAAGGCAGAGTAAGACCAACTGCGTAAATTGTGGGAAAATGTGGTTTACTTACGTAATCATGGAGGGTGGTACCACTATGTCACCAACAAACTGACTCAATTCACCCTTGATAGCCTGAGGAGAGAAATAAAGGATAAAACTGGAGTCAATCAAAGTACAGAGAAGTCATATCTCAAGATGGAAAGAAAAAAAAAAGAAAAGAAAGTGGAAAGATTTTGAGGACTAAGATTGAAAGGAGAACATTAGGGTAAAGAGAATTGAAGAGAGGAGGATGGAAGAACAGGAAGTAATTTAAGGAACAAAACAGCACAAAACAGAATGCAGCATGAAGAGATAGAGGAAATTAAAAAAAGAATTGAATGTGAGAACAAGTTTAAGACTTAATAATTTAAATAATTAATAATATGAAATCAAGTCAAGGCTCAAGGTTAGTGTCAAGTTTGAAATGACCTCCAGGAGTGAACAAACATACATACATGTAATAAGATAGACTTTGAATGCAAATGAACTAAAATGTTTATGGTACATGCTCAGAGTTCTGCTTACGTTTATAGCCTGGTGAAAAGTAGTTTCTCAACATGTAATGACTACTCACCTGTCTATTCTTTAGCTTTATGTTCATTGATAAAGACTGTTCTTGGAGAGTTTGGATTTCTGAGCTTATGCTACCAAGATCTTCCTGGTGAATGGATGGAAACAAGCAAGGATATATTTTAATGTTGTGTATCCCCATTTTTAACTTGTAGATTGCTGTGCATGACTGCAAAATCCCAATTAATTCCAAAAAAGAACACACTATAATTAAAACAAGAATAATTAAAACAAGAATAATTAAAACAAGAAAGAAGTCTTGTCCTGCCTAGATTAGCATTGTAGCTATTTGCAGGACATGAAGTTTTGTAAACCTTATATTTCTTTAAATAAATACATGAAACATGAATAGGCCTGTGATACGATAAATTTACAGCAAAAATCACAACCAAATATGTTGATGATTTTGAAGCATTCAAACAAGCTTGATCTTCATTTTTATCTAGTTCTCATTATGAACATACAAAGAGGAACTACAGATACAGTTTGATATTTGTTCAGAAAATTTAACCCAAAAACAAGTTGTTATTGTGGGCCAATCATTTAAAGATAGTTAAGCTGCTGTTTAATAAAACCGTGTCCTAAACAATCCTCAATTTAGCTGGACCTTTATCTCAACATTTATTTAAGCTTACAGTGGAAGGACATTAATTCAGTGAAATCAACCCTCTTATAGAGAAAGCCTGAGGATCACTGGTTGCCTAAAAACCATGGTTTGGGTTAGACCTTGTGTAAATAATCAGCCTCATATGTTCATACCTGGAAACTTGTGAGCATCTTTTCCATACTCTGCAAAACCAGGAAAAAACTAACTTAAGTTGATACATCTTTATCTTTTCTTTAAAGCAAAAGAATTGAATCTATAAACTGAGGCTTGGCATTGTTTGTGTTGTCTTCCGTTTGAATGAATGTTGAAAAGAGTTGCAGTATATTAAAGGATGTAGAGAAAATACTTTTGATACTAATGATTTTGTCATTGAAATAAACAATGTACTGTAGACTAGGGTACCTTGAAATCATCAAGACCAAACCAAGAAAGAAAGGGTAAGAAGAAAGGTACAAAAAATTAGAACTGTCCATATATAGATGGCAAAAAGTTTTTACTTTGTGCATTTTTCTTCAACACTTGTTGAAAATGTACCAGGTATTAACTGAAACTGTATTTGATGGGAAACCTGATAAATATCATACTGAAAATATCAACTCACTGCAAGAATCGTGTCACAGGAGGCAATCTGGTTGTGAAGGCTTGCAATATTCTCACTCTCTTTGATATCTTTGATTGCAGTCAAGTAAAAAAAAATTTAAATAAAATGGATTTCAAAGAAAATCAATCAGTATATGAAAATGCTCAGGCAGTAAAATAAAATAGAGTTACTACATTATGCACTGTATGAATCCAGTTCTAATCAATAAGTGAATAAGACTTCTAAAAGCGTAGGATACAGTCCAGAATTGATGCATTTTCAACCTCATGTAGGTCTCCCTCAATCTGTCTTGAATACTGCCGGAGGTCTACTCCCTGAATTTTAAAATAATGATCAATAAGGTACAGGATACTATTACATAATGGCAATTAGTAAACTATTAAAAGAGCGGCTAAGGATGTGTTGCATCTTAGAAAAAAACGGTAACTGAACAAATGCATTTTTCAGAAGCACCTCTTTTACATTTCCCAACCTCTTTTTCCAAAAAATAAAAATACCATTCTGCTTACTTTTTCCAAAGCTTCCTTTACCAACTCGTCCTCTAAATTTTCTTGTATGTGCACTGTTAAAATGAAAAAAGGAAATGAGCAAAACTTTTACATAATATGACACGGCCTTGTTTGTTCCTCTGACGAATGTCAATTCCTAGAATCAATTTCTGCCGTTTTCTAACTAAACCCATTTTTATTTTTCTTGGTTAAAGTTAGAAATATTTTTCTGCAGCGGATAAAAAAAAAATTGAAAACTAGTTTTAAACCATTCTGAGTTTAATTTTATAAACATTCTGACAATCATGAACTTTTATAAAGATATGCTCCACTTTTCCTTCCATACCATCAACTTCGTCTAAAATAAATTCATCTTGAGACGTGAGGTCCAGTTCACCTAGATCTAGGTCAACCTGTAGATCCTAAGAGAAAGAATCAATAAACTCTTGTGTCGTTCAGATACAACCTAGTCAATAAAATACTGAAGATAGACAACCTCGAAATCCTGCGGGCATAATATTTTTCATTTTGTGACATGAAATCGCAATGCTAATAAACGAACAGAAAAGAACACTATTGTAATTTTAAATTACTTCATCTGCGTCTTCGACGTCGTTGGAATCCCCTTCGTTTGTATCTGGAATGCCTGTATTATCTTCATTTTCTTGATGGCTGTCCGCCATCTTGGATCTTCGCTGGCACCAGACGTAGACTGCGTGTATGGTACACTATTGTGTATCATTTAATCTTCATGATGACTCTGGCAGCTATATGAAGTATATTTTGCTCCAAGAAATCCCGCTGTTAAAGGCAAGGGAGCAAAACAAATAGCGTTATGTTCGTTACGTTACTTGACCTCATTTGGAGCTATCGTAGAGCGTGATCCTTTCCGTTTCAGAATGACCCAGTTCAATTTCCGCTCCACCCCTTGGAATGCTCGTACGGGCCATAAATTGGAAGTTAGGAGGATTTCGCAAGCATTAGCATTCCTGTCTCCTTTAAACCCACGGCTCTTTGTGTTTGATTCAAAGGATTGACTAAGTTACCACTACTTGATTAGCGAAAAGAAGTTTTAGCTATGGGAAATTTAATTGGAATTGACTCTCACAAGAAGCAACAGATCGAAGGTAAGACTTGTGAATGTAAACATACGCAAATAGTTGAGATTTTCGTGCCTGCACGTTCAGTGAAATTGTAAATGATGGAACTTTATCGAAATTACACACTGATCGACGTTCGTGCGACTACTTTGAGAACAAGCTTTTTTCTCAAGCCAGTCATTCATTTTTTTTTAACAAACAGGAATTAATTACCGCAGTGAAAGCAAGAAAATTGCTCCTTTCCTAACTCAAGTATTTCGGTGCTCGTTTTGCGATCACGCTCAGCCTAGTTATCAATCCACTGAATGCAGACAAAATGTTTTCAGAAACTGATGTGTAATGAAACTGAAACTTATGTAAAAAAAATTTGGAAGATTATTTTTTTGCATTGTAGTTAAATTAAGTGCAACGTGTAATGTCATTTTATTGCTCAATATACCTGGTTTAGTTCAACATAATTGACCTGACTGGTTTGTGGAGATTTGACGGAACTTGTAGTTGATCATCCTCTCTTCAGTTGAATCGATATTTTGCCATTTCTGGTCATATGTAGAAAATCAATACGTATTTCCGGGAGGAAATAGCGAAGAGAGCAGTCAACGTAGTGAAAGTGATTACCATGGGTGTACATGTATATTCGTGTCCCACCCAATTCAATAGCAGCTTTGACAGATACATCACATAATTAGGAAGTGATTCAGCGAGATTCAGCACGAACCAATTCGTACCTGATGGAATGCCCATATATTTGTTTTGATTGATAAAATTATTATTTTTCATTTTTGTTAAAAAAATATGTTGTTAAAATATACATGTATTTGATATTTACAGTATGTGACTGATCACTCACGATAAATTTTCGTTGATTTGTTCCCCTCCCTTTATTACACGTGTGTTTTATAACCATCAGCAGTTTCAGTTTGAACCGTGAAGTAATTGGGTCAGTAATTGTATGCACAACTGTCAATATACATGTTCCATAGATATTTTTTTACATTGTTATTTTATGTAATTCAAAGTTTGTGAACATTATTTATATTTCTCAAAATAATTGTGCCCTTTTGAATAATTTCCAAACCAGTTTGAGTTTTGTTGTCTGTGTCTCCTTTTCAATTTCATTATTGGGAACAAAGGAAATTGAAAATCAAAGGGATTTAGACCTTTTTTTAAAATTTAACTGGTAAGACATTGATAACACAGGAAATATCCTATTTGCTTGGGTTTTTTTCACTGTAGTGTAAGGAGATGGAGGCAAAGGGGGTTCTAATCCTATTTCAAGCACAAATTGAGGAATCCCTTATATGTTTAAATAGCATTTCACTTGTCAAATTTAAAAGGGAAAACTTACAAATTCCTCCTTTTGTGTGTAAGGTTTCAAGGAAATTTTGAGGTTTTCACGAAATGAAAGAGAAATAAATTCACAGGTCACATCATTATATTTCAGGAGGCAAATTATACTGTAACCTTACTCTGGTTTAAAAATTGAAGAATCATGCTCATCCTTTTGTAAAAATTCATGACTTCATCTCATCACAATTAAACCCTTCACTACCTTCTAAGGATAAAAGAACATGTAGCATTCATACATGTACTTGTATTATTGCCAAACAATTTTTTTTCC